GCCATCTCTCCAGCGCCTGGGTCACTTTGGTTATTTTTGGATTTGGGTCCATACCTGGTGGTGCTCAGGGCTTACTTCTGCCTCTGTGCTCAGGCGAGACTTGTGATACCAGGGATCAAACCCTGGTTGACTGCCTGTAAGGCAAGTACCCTACTGCTGTACTATTTAACTGGTCCATGGGTCAAGTTTCAACCCCTCTGCTGCCATTTTCTGTTTTTTTAATTGGTATATTTAAATCATTTACATTTAATATAATTGTTGATATATTAGGGCTTAATTCTGAAATTTTATGTTTTTGTTTTCTGTTATATCTGTTTTGTTTCTCTTCCTTTCCCTTGCCTGCCTATGTGGTACTTAAAACAATGAAAACAATTCTTAGAATTCTTAGAGTTGAGTTAGAATTCAATTTTCTATTTGCTATAGAACAAACGTATGTTACTTACTGACAAAGAAACTTCTCTGGAACTGATCAGTCAGGTAAGGTCCAGATTCTCTATGCACACACGTTTGAAACAAAACCAGTTGGAGAGCATTTATAAATTGTAAAACAAGGGGATAGCTGAAGTTCTTGATTACCTGGCCCCTCTGTCCTTCCAAATGGCCTGGCAAGGGTGGAAGTACCCATTTCCTACTCAATCTCGGAAACTAGGAGGTAATTGAGTGCCTATATAAAAGGGTAAAAATCTACGCTGTGGGTGTGGTTACAGTTTTTCTGTGATGTTTGACTTAAATAGAATGGTTATTCTATTTTCTCTTGTTGGACTACCCCTTGCTGGTACTTCTCCACCCCCAGCATCAAGGGTTGTACCTAGCACCTCAAACACGCAAGCTGCTTAGGCACATCCTGGCACATCCCTGGCCTCCTTTCTGGTCCTTGGGCTAGAGAGTAGACTTTTATTGGGACTTTCGCAGGTCGGGGTAGTTTGGGGCCACACCTGACTATGCTCAGATGCTACTCCTGGCTTTGTGCTTGAGAGTTGTTGCTGGTGGCACTCTGGCAGCCATGTAGTGCCAAGGATGGAACCCGAATTTCCTGCCTGCAAAGCATGTGCACAGCCCATCGAGACATCTCACAGACCATTGCTGGGTTATTGTTTATTTATTTATTAGTTTTTTTGTCTATGACTATCTATGTTTCCAAGTGGCCGACCTCTTCATTCCAAGACTGAGAGCTTAAAGCTGGATAGAAAGTAGATCTGGTAGCACACTTGCCCCAACAACAGGGTGTGTGTGTGGGGTGAGGGGGGCACTACAAGCCAGGCATGCTCTCAAGTTCCTGAGTCAACTCCTCAGCTCTGTTTCTACTATTTTCCTCCATTATAAATAATGATGTTTTGAAAAGTTTTTTGTTTGTGTTCTTGGGTACATGTGCAAGAATTTCTAGGACAATAGATGTCCATGGTACTCCACCCCAGATCTGGAGGAAAGTGGTCTAGATATTTTAATAAATGTTTTTTTTTCTGGCTTTTAGACTACTCCTGGAGGTGCTTAGGGCTTGTTTCTGGCTCTATGCTCAGGGATCACTCCTGGGAGTTGGGGGAGGCACTGGAGGACCATATGGGGTTCTGGGAATCAAACCTGAATAAAAGCATGCAAGTCAAGTGCCGTACCCACTGTGCTATCTTCTGGTTCCAAATGTTTTGTTTTTAAATAATATAAAACTTACATACAATGGAAAAATAGTACAAAGAATTTCTGAATGTTCTTTACCTAGATCATTAGTTATTAACTTTTTATCTCCTGTTTTCTCACTTTTTTTTCTCACAAACAAATCTTCATGCCATTTGAGAGTAAATTGGAGGTACCACGTCTCTTTAGTCCTAATATTTCAAATGTTTCCTTAAAAAAAAGAAATTTTATGAATAAATATATTTCAGAAAGTTCGATATTGACACGACATACTTGCTTTTTCTCCTTTCTCTTTTCTTCTTTCTTTCTTTCTTTCTCTCTCTTTCCTTTTATTTATTTCTCCTCTTCCTTCCTCCTTTCTCTCTCTTTCTCCCTTCCTTCCTCCCTTCCTTTCTTCCTTCCTTCCTTCCTTCCTTCCTTCCTTTCTTTCTTTCTTTCGTTCTTTCTTTCTTTCTTTCTGTTTCTTTATCTCTCTCTTCCTCTCTTCCTTCCACTTTTTTTGGGGAGCCACACTCGGCTGTGCTGAGGGATTACTACTGGCTTTGCACTCCGGGATAACTCCTGGCAGAGTTTAGGGGACCACATGGGTCCCGGGGGTTGAACCTGGCTCAGCTGTATGCAGGGCAAACACCCTCTCCAGTACTGCTGTCCTGGCCTGTGACATGACACATCTGTCCAACTACAGCTTGTATCTATCCAAAATGTCTTTTTAGCTATTCTTTCTTTTCCAGCCCAGGACCAGTCTGTTTTCATCTGTTTAGCTTCTCTTAGTTCCCTAACTTGTCTTTTTCATGATTGACATTTCTTAAAACTGCAATCCAATAAATGCATAGAATCCCTCAATTATGTAGATTTTCCCCTCCGTTTGTTTGATGCTGCTCATGATTGGGTTTGGGTGTTTTTCCTGTTGCAGAAGTGATGGTGTGTGTCTTTCTCAGAACTTGATCACTCGATCACTTGACGTTCCGTTACTCATCAACTTGCTTGAGTGGGCGCCAGTAATGTCTCCACTCATCCCTGTCTTGTGCTAGTGTAGCCCAATGGCGTCTGCTCACTCCAGGAACACGAAGAGCCTCAAACTGATCATTCAGGGTCTTGACAAAGAAATCTGACCATCTCGTAGGTGGGCGGCCATGTGATCTTTTGACATCCCGTGGAATCAGTCCATAGCGGCTCTAGGCCAGTGGTCTTCTCCAAATCGCATTATGTATCCAGCCCATTTGATTTTCGATGCTTTGGCAAATGAAACAGTGTCCCTGATTCTTGATCGTCGACAGAGGCCAGAACTCTGGATTTTCTCTCACTTGAGTGAAGCGTGATACTACAAGCATAGTTCTTTGGATTCCTCTTTGGAAGACCTGAAAGAGTATGTATTATTTAATATTATCATAATATTTAATATTCTCACACTGAATATTATAAATATATCATACTAACTATATCATACTGAATATTCAGACATACTGAATAAATAGCAGTATTCCTATATTTAAAAAAATAATAATGCTTTTTCAGCATGTCTGATTTGGGGGGGGGGTAAACTCTAAATAATAGTGGTGAATCTTTTATTGAAACAATGAATCTAATCAAAGCAGATAGAGTGTTAACTAGAATTCATCTGCTTCACAGGGACGGGGAGGGGTGGGGGGTGGGGTTTTATTGGGGTTCTTCATGGTAAAAAATAAGTATTGGTAAAGGGAAATGTGTTTGATATTTGCATGACTGAGACATAAACCTGAAAGCTTTGTAACCTTTCCCACAGTGATTCAATAAATAAAAAAAAAAAAAAATAAAAATAAAATAAAAAAAAATAAAAAAATAATAATACATACTGGTTAGAGGGGCTGGAGCGATAGCACAGCGGGTAGGGCGTTCGCCTTACAAGCGGCCAACATGGCCGACCCGAGTTCGATTCCTCCGCCCCTCTCGGAGAGCCCGGCAAGCTACCGAGAGTATTCGATATGCCAGACACAGTAACAACAAAGTCTCCAATGGAGACGTTACTGGGCCCGCTCGAGCAAATCGACGATCAACGGGAGGGCCTTTACTTTTACTTTTTACTTACTGGTTAGAGAGATAGCTGGATGGGCTAGACTTCATTATTTGCATTCAGGAGGCTTGGGATTGGTCCTAACACAACAAATGATTCCCTGAGCATGACAAGGAGGGATCCCTGAGCACCAAGCCAGGAGCAACCTCTAGGCACAAGCGTGATCCAATCCCCACCCCAATAATAAAATAAATACACCACTGTGACACAATATGAGTGCTCTTAGCTTTGATAATTTCAATGTGTGTGTGTGTGTGTGTGTGTGACTTTTGAGGTGCCAGAGATCGAACCCAGGGCCTCAGAAATGCTAGGCAAGTGCTCTAGGGTTGAGCTATATCCCCAGCTCCTACCTTTGGTATTTTGATTAAGATGGACTATACCCTGTTTCTCCAAGGTCAGGATTCCGGTTTTTTGAGAAGCCATAGCCATGCTGTTCCCCACGCAAGGCTCTTTCGTTCGGGACAACCCAGAGATGGGTGGATGAGGTCCCCGTCCCACCCCAACAGAGCCAGCCCTGGCAGCCGAAAACCTCCAGAACTCAACCTCCACCGTGCTCACAGCCACTCTCAACATGCTAGGCTGAGTGTCACCCACGAACGAACCCATCTCCACTTACACCACTAATATTCCAAGTGTAGCGCGCCACATGTGATGGCATTTAAAGTAGAAGGCAACCAGTTTTAGAGGGAAATATATTTTTACATATGTACATATGTAAAATACATATGCACACAATGCTCAATCTTTTAAAACATGTTAGTAATCTCTTATAGAAGGGCTTAATGGCTCCTGTGGGAACTACAACAATCTTCACATACTTTCCTCTGATAAACCTTTTTTGGATCATTGTCAATGGATTTTTCATAACAATACAAAACAAATTATTTCAGTTTTGCTTTGGGGCTATCGATAGCACAGCGGTAGGGCATTTGCCTTGAATGCAGCCAACGTGGCCGACCCGAGTTCGACTCCTCCGCCCCTCTCGGAGAGCCCGGCAAGCTACCGAGAGTATTCGATATGCCAGACACAGTAACAACAAAGTCTCCAATGGAGACGTTACTGGGCCCATCAAGCAAATCGATGAACAACGGGAGGACCGTGACTGTGGACCGTTGTTTTGGGGCAGGGGTTGGGGTTCGGAATGGAAACATCCGAAATGTGGTGGGAAGGTGTAATGGTGGGATTGGTGTTTGAATGTTAAATATAATCAAATATTGTTAACTGCTTTATAAACATAAAATTAAATTATAAAAAAAGATTCTGGTTTTTCTCCACAGTCAGTTGGGCCAACTGAATTTTCACCTCTGGAACCCAGTGCACAATGGCTGTGAGCGGCAGTCCGTTTGTCGGTGCCGCTGCCTGTTTGCCTCCCCAGGGGTACCTGGAAGAGCCCTTGGAAAGCATTCCTATCTGCCTGCCTTCAGCAGTCCCCAGCCTCGGGATCCAAACAGGTGCCTTTGGAAAGCACCAGGGCTCGGTGTCCACATAGGCCCAGTCCTTGTTTCCGAATACCCAAGCTAAGCTGAAAAGCAAGGAGCATGTGACCAACTATGCTGGGCAAAGTTCCTTTGTTCACCGGAAATTCTACTCCAGGAAGTGGGACTTCATCATATTTAAAGTGGATGAGTTTGAAGACATGGTTACTAAGAAGCAGCGCCTCCAAGACGGCTGTGGGGTCAAACACCTTCATCGTGGGTCTGAACAAATGGGGTGGTGGGGAGTGGGGTGGGTGGGTGCTGAATTCCTGAGCGCCTCAGAACTGCCTCTCCTCACTTCCTGCTCCTCCCTCATTAAATTTTCTGAGGGGTGGGGGAGGGGGATTCTGTTGTTCTTTCGTAACTTAAGAAGCACTTTTGTGAAGATTTTTTGATCTTATGTAAAATCCTGCTTCTAATAAAATTTTGGCAGAAATTTTCTGCCTCCATTGGAGATTAAATTAATGTTGTGAAGACCAAAAAGATTTATTTGTTCCTTTGGGGCCACACCCAGTGGTACTCAAGACTACCCACAAGTCTGTGCAGTGGTGTTTGGGGAAACCATGTGGTGCCAGGATTTGGATTCTGGTCTCCTGCATGCAAATCATGCACTCAGTCTTTGGGCCAGCCGTGAAAAGCTCTGTTGTGGTTGTGTTTTTTGGGGGGGCCACACCCTGCAGCACTCAGGGCTTACTCCTAACTGCTCAGTAATCACTCTTGGTGGAATCTGGGTGCTGGGGGACTGGAACCAGGTTGGCCTGGTGCAAGGCAAGCACCCTACCCACTGCACTATCTCTCTGGCTCCAAAGCAAGGTAGTTTCTGTTGAGCAAAAACTTACTTAGAAAGATGTCAGTGGGGAAGAGAGGAGATACATATGTTCAACAGAGAACACAAGCTTCTCCGGTAAGGTAAAAAGGTAAAGGCCCTCCCCTTGATCGTCGATTTGCTCGAGCGGGCCCAGTAACGTCTCCGTTGGAGACTTTGTTGTTACTGTGTCTGGCATATCGAATACTCTCGAACGCCCTACCCGCTGTGCTATCGCTCCAGCCCTGCCTTCAGTAGCACAGCAGGTAGGGCGTTCGCCTTACAAGCGGCCAACATGACCAACCCGAGTTCTATTCCTCCGCCCCTCTCGGAGAGCCCGGCAAGCTACCGAGAGTATCTCGCCCGCACGGCAGAGCCTGGCAAGCTCCCCGTGACGTATTCGATACGCCAGACACAGTAACAACAAAGTCTCCAATGGAGACGTTACTGGGCCCGCTCGAGCAAATCGACGATCAACGGGAGGGCCTTTACCTTTACCTTTATAAGCTTCTCCGGAGGCAGGGGAAATAGTAAAGAGACATAGAGACAAACAAATTAGATGCTTGTCAAGAGAGAACAGGCATTTGAAAAGCAAGCCTGAAAGGCTATTTTATTTTATTTGGTTTTTGGGACACAGCCAGTGGTGCTTAGGGCCTGGCTCTGTGCTTAAGGATCACTTCTGGCAGGACATGGGGGTCATGTGGGATGCTGAGGATCAATCATGGGACAACCATATACAAGGAAAGCACCCTACCTGCTGTACCGTCTCCTCTGTCTCTAAAAAGCTATTTTAAATTTAGTTATCCATTTTCCTTGTACACAAAAGAACCTGACAAAAACAAAACTTAAAACCAGAAAGTGGATTTTTCTCTTCCTTTCTGTGCCATCATCATAGTTTTGTGCGTGTTTGACACTTCCTGGCTATGTCTTCTGGATCAAGTGATTACTGGTTAAGAAATACAAGGAGGGAACCAGAATTAGAGAACAGTAGGTAGTGCATTTGCCTTGCTTGTGGCCAACCTGGAATTCTGCCAGGAGTGATCCCTGAGTGCAGAGCCAGGACTAAGTTCTAAACACTGCAGGGCATCTCTCACACACACACATACACACACACACACACACACACACAACACATACAATGCAGAGAGAAGAGAGAGAGAGAGAGGTAGAAACATAATCGTCCTATTCCCTGGTGGATGAAAGCAGGCAACAGCTGATAATAAAGTTAGGTAAAACTTTAAGAGTAGACGTTGGAGGAGAATTCCAGAGAATCCAGCTAGGATTAAAATGGGGCACACATATTTTATGCTGTGTCAAGATTACTTACATTTCATCATATCATACTGAAAACATTTGTAGTATTTAGACATATTGTGTTTTTCCATTATTTGGAAGAGGAGTCGGGCCATACCTGGCAATGCTGAGGAGCTATTCCTGGCTCCGTGCTCAGGAGTGATCTCTCTCGATGCTCAGGTACCATATGCAGCGCTGAGGATTGAACCATGGTTGACTGCATGCAAGTCAAGCAAGCACCTTAAGCTCAACATTATCTCCCCAGCCCCTATTTGGAGATATTTTATTGGAAATAAATTTGTTCATATGATTTTGCTCTTTAGGTTGACTCATTAATAAAAAGGTAAGGTAAAGGCCCTCCCGTTGTTCATCGATTTGCTTGAGCGGGCCCAGTAACGTCTCCATTGGAGACTTTTTTTGTTGTTACTGTGTTTGGCATATAGAATACCTCACGGGTGGCTTGCCAGGTTCTGCCATGCGGGCGAGGTACTCTCGGTAGCTTGCCGGGCTCTCCGAGAGGGGCGGAGGAATTGAACTCGGGTCGGCCATGTTGGCTGCGTGCAAGGCAAACGCCCTACTGCTGTGCTATCGAAATATGTGGAAAATTTGAGAAAAATCAGAAGTGAAGCATTTTTGGGTCAGGAGATAGCTCAAAGGGCTGGAATGAATATTTTGCATGCACTCCAGGTTTGGTCCTTAGCACTGCATGACCCAGCACTGCCAGGTGTTGCCCAGTAGCCCCAAGCATCCCTGAGGTGGCCCTGCTGTCTCTGGGTGTGGCCCTTAGCCCCTCTGAGTGCCTAAAAGACCCCCAATACTGAGGTTTTTATGGAATTAATTTTGGCTGTCATCAGGTGGAATGGAATATTTCTAGCCAGTATTTGCATGGCTAAGACATGAATTAAGAAGGTGGAGGTGTAGCTATGTGATAGATTTGGTTTCACTTCCCAACACCAAAAAAAGAGAGGAGGAGAAGGGCGAGGAGGAGGAAGAGAAAGGGGGTGGGGAGGAGGAGAGGAAAATAAAGAAAAAAGGCCAAGAAACTCATTCTTAGGGCCAGAGCAATAGTACAATGGGTAAGGTTCTTGCCTTGCACACGCCAACTCGGGTTCAATCCCTGGCAGCCCATGTGGTCTCCAAGCTCTCCACGAGTGATCACTGAGTGCAGAGCCAGGCATCAGCCCTGGGCACTACTCGATGTGACTCAAAAATCAAAAAGAAAAAAAAAATTCCCCAGAGACTCATCACTCTGAGTGTGGACACACCCTTGGGGCTGGATGGGCATGATCCAGGTCTGGGTCAGTTCCAGGAGGATTGCTGTTGTCTGAGTTCTCAGATTGGATTAGTTACTGTATTATAAATTCCTACATCTTTGCCAAAATTATTACGATACTTTGTTTGACTGTCTGTCTACTTTTCTAGATGGTAGGCAGTAGGACAGCTGGCTCTCAGAAGCACAGCTCAAGCTCTAAGAAATAGAAGCTTCTCTGAGGATTGAGGGAGAGATGATGACATTAAATAAGATTAATTTGTCTTTCTCAACATGAAATTTATTTTTTGAGAGGGGGGGTGATTTGGACCAGACCCAACAGTGCTCAGGAATTATTCCTAGCTCTGTGCTAACTCAGGGTGACTCCTGGTACCACCAAGGGGACTAGATACGTGGTACCAGGGATCAAACAAACTGGGGTCAGCTGTGTATAAGCACTTGCCTTGACCTTTGTACTATTCCTTTCACCTCTCATTTAAAGTATTTCCCCTTTCATTTCCTGGATTTATGCTCAGAGATCACTCCTGATGGTGGTCAGGGGACCATATAGGGCACCGGGGATTGAATCCGAGTTGGCTACATGCAAGGCAAGTGTACTTGCCTTGTACTATCTCTACCTTTTGATTAAATTCTACCTTTTGATTAAAAGCTTTTAGTCCAGCTAGAGTTTATTTTTGTATATGATAACAAGTAGGGATACGAGTTAATTTTTTTGTAATAGAGGATTCATTGATATCGTCCTGTGTTGTTTCTATATGCATATGATCTGAACTGTTCCCATGCTCTATTAATGCTCCTCTCTCTCTCTCTCTCTCTCTCTCTCTCTCTCTCTCTCTCTGTGTGTGTGTGTGTTGCTAGGATTTGGGTCCAGGGCCTTACACATGCAAGGTCAGTGCTCTACCACTCAGCTCTAAGCTGATCCCCCAAAACAAGTTTCCTTGTTTTGTCAATTACTAAGCAGTAACAGTTTTTTTCAATTTGTTGGGGTCACTCTTGGTGGTCTTAGGGACTATAAGGATCATATCCAGAGGTGTTCAGGGAACCAGGAGGCACTGGGGATCAAACTCAGGGCTTCACACCTGTGCTCTAATGCTTGAGCCACATTCCTGTTCCACAATGATGTTTTTGTTGTTGTTGTTGTTGTTTATTTTTCTTTTTGGGTCACACCCAGCGATGCTCAGGGGTTACTCCTGGCTCTGCACTCAGGAATTACTCCTGGCAGTACTTGGGGGGCCATACTTGATGCTGGGAATAGAACCCAGGAGGTCCGCATGCAAGGCAAGCGCCCTACCCGCTGTGCTATCACTCCAGCCCCATGTTTTTTATGATTGTTTGTATGACTCTCTGGTAGTTTAGTTTCTGGTAGAGTTGTTTCCCCTTTTACATTTGCTGTTTTTGTTCTTTTGGGGAGGGGAGGCACACCCAGAGGTCCTCAGGGCTTACTCCTGACTCTGCACTCATGGGTCACTTCTTGTGGGGCTCAGAGGGCCACATGGGATGCCAGAGGTCAAACCCAGTTAAGCTTAGCATGCAAGGCAAACACCTCACTGGCTGTACTGTCTCTCCAGGCTCTATATTTGCTATTTTTCTCTCAGAACTTATCTAACCATTTATGGACCTTTGTACTGTCATATACTTATCTGCCTGGGGCCACACCTAGCAGTATTTAGAGGGTTGCTCCTGGTGGTGTTCAGGGGACTATGCAGTTCTGGGACTAGAACTCAAGTCTCCTGCATCTTAAGCATGTGCTCAGCTCGTTAAATTATCTCTCCAGTCCCAGCAAAGGTTTCTTTAAACCTAAGGGCATTGCTTTCTTAGCAAGAGGTCTAGAGAGGGACAATTTCAGAT